CTGCAAAGAACTCCTTGGTATTACATGAATCAAAATTAACTTGAAGAATATACTTTGTTAATGTTCTCAGAATTTATGATTATTTCTACATAGTAAATTATCTCAATTACACTTAGGACTTGCATTTCTATAAAAATGAAATGTCATCATTTTTAGTAAAAACAAAAAAGATTATCTTCCTTTTAGAATGAAAAAAGTGTCTTTCTCTCCACTAATCCTATCCAAAGTGTTCTAAAAAATGACTGACACCTAGTAATGCCACAAATTGCCTGATTAGAACTTAAGATTTCTAAGGGAGAAACAATATATATCTTCAGTGCCCTCTATGGTGCTGTGCTCGATAAAGAGCACAGAGCAGGTGGATGTCCAACCATGCCAGTGGGAGGACTGACCATGGATTCCAAACATTCCTAACTGCATCTAGTATAAAGTGCATCTTGATGATCCTTACTCATTCAGAAAGAAAGCCAGAAACCTATGGAAGGGTAGCAGAAGAAAGGGGTGGAGACAGTGTTCTAGGCTTTCCATCATAATTGATGGGGATCTACTCGGTCTAGCCCAAGTAGACTAATTACATCAAGGGAACAGCAGGACAATCTAAAAACCTAGCAGAAAGGAGCAGCCCTTAGGGAGGGCAGGAGGAAGTGGCTGTGGGCTCGCCTCTGGCAGTCTTTTGCTGTCACTTGTCTCCTCATGGAGCAGTCCGCCTGTCTTGCTGGCTCCAACTGTGCTACAATAAAGGTGATTTCTGAACTGATTCATCCTTTCAGCTTTGCCCCAATACCTCAGTTTCCCCAATTTCAAATTCTTAAAAATAAAGCTGAGTTAATCTTTTCAAGCTAGGCCACAAAGATCACAGGTTGCCAGTCTATTACTGCTGCCATTAAAAGAACTAAACAGCACACGCATGCCTTTAATCCCAGCAGAGGCAAGAAGATCTCTGTGAGTTCCAGGCTGGGGCTATAAGAGACCCTGTCTCAAAAATACCCCCCAAAAGAGAACTAAATAAAGAATTTTTGCAGGCTGGGCATGGTGGCTGTGCTGCATAGCATTAGTGTCAACTTGACACACCTGGGTTGAGGGAGCCTCAATTGGGGAATTGCCTTCTTGGACTGGCCTGTGGCCATGTCCATGGGGCATCTTGATTGTTGAGTGATGGGGGTAGTGTTGAGCCTGAGCTATATAGGAAAGCTAGCTGATCATAAAACAGTGAGAGAGGGAGCAAGTCGGGCAGTGTTCCTCCATGGATTCTGTTTCAGCTCCTGCAAAATTTACTGCCCTGACTTCCCTTAGTGATGGACTGTGACCTGGAATGGTAAGCCAAATAAACCTTTTCCTCCCCTAGTTACTTTTGGTCAGTGTTTTGTCACAGCAATGAAGAAACAAACTAAGACAGTGGCTCACGCCTTTAATCCCAGCACTTGGAAGGCAGAGGCTGGTGGATCTTTGTTAAGTTCAAGGCCAGCCTGGTTTACAAAGTGACTTCCAGGCCAGCTGGGGCTACAGGGCGACCCTGTCTCAAAAAGACCCCTACCCCCCAAAAAAAGTGAGAGAGAGAGAGACAGGTTCCAGAAACTATGGTGTCAAGCTGCCTTATTTAACTCATCATTGCTTTCTTCCTGCTAATTAAGCACATACTATCTACTTCATCTCTTCAGCTACCTTGAAGTCCTGCTTTTGACCACTTCTTCCATGAATAACTCTAATCAATGTATTTAAACAAAACCAGTTCTCTTGGCTGGGAAATAAGCCAATAAAATGAATGCAATCAGAAGAATTCATTTTTCCCAACAGAACACATAATTCTTACCTCGAGAAAATGCTACCTTTCCCCCTCTCCCCACTCTCAGGAGTTCTCGCTCACTTTTCCTTAAAAAACATATGTTCCAGCCAGACGTGGTGGCGCATGTCTGTACTCCCAGCACTCAGGAGGCAGAGGCAGGCGGATCTCTGTGAGTTCAAGGCCAGCCTGGTCTACATAGTGAGTTCCAGGACAGCTGGGGCTACAGGGGGATCCTGTCTCAAAAGGACAAGGACAAAAACAGAAACAAAAACAAAAAAACACCGTATGTTCCAACCTCAGCTCACTGGGCTGGAGGTGGCTCTGCAGTTAAAGAGCACTGACCGCTCTTGCAGAGGACCAGGGTTTGATTCCCAGCACCCACATGGCAGCTAACAACCATTCACAAGTCTAGTTCCAAGGGATCCAACACCCTCTTCTGACCTCCACAAGCGCTGCACGACACGGGTGCACCTATCTACATGCAGGCATTACACTCATACACATAAAAGAAAAATAATATATAAACATTTGTTTAAAAAAGCTCAGCTCATTTAGGACTTAATTATTCTGCACTACCACAGTCTCTACCCAGTCCTGTGAAAGTGTACTACAAATACACCTAGTGGTGTAGGAGGGTCACGGGGCCTTATGTGATCTGATGATTAAACATTAAACAAAGGAGAAGCAGAAGCCATGGGGAACCTATCATCCAGATTGGAACACCTCTGAGAGCAGAAGGAGGGGCTATTCAAATATCCCGCACACTCTGAGTCACAGACTCTGGCTTGGGGGAATACAGAAGCAAGACCTGGAAAACAACCCAGGTCCCCACACACAGCCCAGCACCCATCACTCACTGAACTCGCTCGTGCACCATTTATTACCTGGGCCTCAGAGTTCAGGTAACTGGTATTGTGCTCCTTTCCGCAACTGGTCTCCTCACCCTTTCTCAGTTTATTAGCTTTTACTGTCTTTGGCACTGCCAGCTTACCACAGAATCCTGCCACTCAGTCTATACCATAAAAAGCAATTACAGCCCCAAAACGTATTTTACACTCAAAACACTCACCATAGTAAAATGATCCTCATTTCTGATGTAAACAAGGAAACACATCTCTTGGTATAACCCCAAACCAACTTTTGGTTTTGTAATAACTAAAAACATTTAACCACTCAATGTTTCAAAGCTATTGAACTTTTGTTTCATTTTTCCTTGCTCAACTCTGCCATGTTATTTGCCAAGAGTAAAGCCAACTCCAACTTCTTTTTAAAATCTTCCTGAAAAAAACCCTAATTCGATCTGCTTGCCCATTTCCCCTATAGCTTGGGGAAACCAGAGAGGCAAAGTCTTGATTGCTCTCATCTCCTTGGTTATTTTTTCCTAAGAAGTACCTAGAACCGAGGAAAGAGGAAAACGGAATTAACTGTATTTCTCCCAGGAGCAAGTATTTCATCGTTTCTATTTTACATGACAACTATAAGGCTGTGCTAAATACAGAACCTCAAACAGAAACGTACGAATTTGGCTTTATGAGGCATCTAAACACACTGCACCCGGCATCCTGCCTGTTTTTGCAGATAGCTTTAATGTGTTGAACTAGACCAATGCTAACAACAGAAGCTTCAGCTTTTATTGCATTAATACCCTGAACAATCACTGTAACTCAGCAGGAACCTCTGCCCAGAACAGCAGCTTCACACTGTCATCAGCATTTCATGAGACTCTGTTCAAACATGAAGGAAGGCACCAGCTAATGCACCAAAAAGGGGGTGGGGCTGGTAAGGGCTCAGGCTCTAATAGGAATCTAAAAGAAAAATCTTTGCAATTTTATTTCACAGCTATGTATTTTCTGTGGTAGACTGGCACTTGGTTTAGCAAAAATCACACACACACAGATAATAAGCACGAAAGAGCAGCAGCTGCAGCCACTACCAAAATAAACCTCCTCAGGAAGCAAGACCTCCCAAAGTTTCAGGTGTCAGTGCAGTATCTGTAAAAAAAAAATCTCTGTAAAGAAAGACAGAATAAAGAGCAAACACCTCCAAAACTGTTAAAGCTCATACTCTTATGAAAACAAAATAGAAATCATTTGATTTACAGGATTAAACTACAACGCTGCTTTACAAAACAGCCAGGAAGGCTGTAAATAGCCTAATAGGAACAAATATATCTTATAAGTAAACGCACAGTTGACTCTCTTTACTACATTAATTCTTTAAACTGAAATATCACATACCTTGTATATTAGAACAAATACTCTTAAGCAATGGGGCACTTTTGGAAATGAGGGCACTAATAGATATGAATATACGACATCATCTACAAAAGTTAGAACATTAAGATTTCCTTATACTCAAAACTGTAGACAGTGGTTCACAGCCTTTTCAAGTAAAAGGATTCCATTCTAAATTCAGAGTGCTTCAGAAGGTTCTCACATGATAGGACTTCAATGATATTTTACACAGCAGTTGTTTTAGGAAAAGACATTAATGAACAGTGATACTAAATGCATATTGCCCACAAAAAAGTGAATTTTTGAAAAATCAGAAGAGTATATTAATGTTTCAAAAACAGTTATATACATGGGTATGGGTGTGTGTGTGCGCGTGTGTGTGTGTGTGTGTAATTGGGCAAAATCTTGACAAAAATCCAGGGGTCAATTCCAAGCCACTGCTATAAAACCAAAGGCCACACACAATGAGCAAGACGCTCAGGAGAAGCTTCAATGAGGAAGCACACCACGCCTGGCCAACTTCCTTCCCCATTTGCTTCAGGGAGACTCCTCAAACAGGTTCAAGGTGTGCTCCAAACCCACCACCACATAAAGAACATTATAGTTCTCCCCAGAAACTAGTCTCTGGCTCACTTACACTTCCTATTCATTAATTCCTAAATTTACTTTGGGGCTTAGAAAAATGGCTGAGAAGAAACAAGCTACTTAAGAAACTAGAGGGATTCTCTGATATTGTCAAAACAGCTACTAAAAGATTAAATACTTCAGAACCATTGTTTACAGTATAAAAGCATCACAACATTTTAACAAACCAAGCTGATGAAACTCTATCAACTCCTTTATTTCGGTGCACAGCCGAGAGGCAGGTAGCATCCAACCGACAGTTATCACATCAGCAATGATGGAGAAGAAATCAAAAGACACAGCCAACAGAGCTGGAAACAGTGAAGGCAGAGACGGAAGAACATGTTAAAAATGCTTACCAGTTTGAAGTCTTGAATGCTACAGATGAAATACGGTGTATTTGGCCTCCGACTCTCGATATACACACAGTCTTTAAAAGAAAAAGAAATTGTAAAGCAATGGCATTTACCGTTAAGGAAACAAAGACAGAGGCTGTAAGGCCACTCACTGCACAAACAGATAAACACAAGGTGCACAGCACATACTTCTTTTATAATAAAAAAAATTTCCAAAGGTGATATTAATATATAAATGACGTTAAAGGAAAATAGTCCTTTCATTCTTTTCAAATACCATTCTGATGATTTAAGCACCCAATAAAGTCTCAACTACCCTCTTCAGAGAATGGACTGTCTTCTAGAACTAGTCATATCCAGATGAAGAAATTTAGAAAAAGGGGTGCGTTGCCTGCACGTTAGTAAGTGTACCCGTATCATGTAGTGCCTGTAGAAGTCAGCAGGTGGCATCAGATTCTCCTGGAACTGGTGTTAGGATGGTTGTTAGCCACCATGTGGGTCCTGGGAATCAAACCCCGGTCCCCTGCAACAGCATGCAGTGCTCTTAAGCATTCAGGCATCTCTCCAGGCCCATATTTTAATTGTAAAGAAAACCAAGACAGTCAAATAGAGGTGAATAAGTAAACCAAATTACATTTTCTTCAGGGAAGAAAAGTGCTTTCTTAAATTACATTTGATATGGCAGTGGCTGGGTGATTATTTTTGATGCTCTCAACAGATGGAGTCTAAAAGGTTGCTTTTGGGGCTGGAGATGGCTCAGTGGTTAAGAGCACCAACTGCTCTTTCAGAGGACCCAGGTTCAATTCCCAGCACCCACATGGTGGCTAACAACTATCTATAATTCCAGTTCCAGGGGATCCAATGCCCTCTTCTGACCTCTGTGGGGATTACATGACATGGGTGCACCTACACACATGTACTCACAGACATAAAATTTAAAAAAAATAGGTCACTTTTAAAACAATATTTTATCTATTATTTTTATTTATTTATTTTTCTTTTATATCTTTTTTGAGACAGGGTCTCCTTGTAGCCCTAGCTGTCCTGGAACTCACCATGTAGACCAGGCTGGCCTCGAACTCATAAAGATCTGCCTGCCTCTGCCTCCCAAGTGCTGGGATTAAAGGCATGCACCACCACGCCCAGTCCTATTATTTGTATGTATTGCCTGCATATATGTGAGTGCACCTGTGTTGTAAAATACCAAGGAGGTCAGAAGAGGGCTTTGGATTCTCCTGGAACTGGAGTTAAGGATGGTTCATAGCCGCCATGTGGGTGCTGGGAATTGAACCCAGGTCCTCTTCAAGAGCAATCAGTGGTCTTAACCACTGAGCCATCTCTCCAGGCCCAAAGGTCACTTTTTTAAACAGCCTATTAAGACACTTTGAAAAAGAAAAAATCATTTTTTTTTTTAAGGAGAACAGTGTTTACAGAAAGATTAGAATGCTCTACAGCTGGAAATCACTGGAAATCTTAGGACAAAGAAGTCTAGGTATTAGTTACCAAGAAGTAAATGTATTCACAGTTAACCAAATTTAGGGAGAGTGATCAGTGATCGTAACGCCCACAATGCAAAAGTCATTCACTGTATCCTTTCTACCGTCCTTTAGAATGAGTATGTCTCAGAATAACTAGTTTTTGACCAACTCCAGCAAATTCCTCTACTCAATTCTGTACAAGTTAAAAGTCATGAAAATGAAAGAAAGTGTAACTTGGAATCATACCACTAGTGGACAGTCAAGTCCCACCCCAGTAATAGCAGACACATTAGTTCAGATCATAAAGTCAGTCATCACAAATAGGCACATCCATTCAAGTAGAACATCAAGATCTTTGTACCCAAAAGCCATTTCAGAAAAGATGTGAATGTCCGCTATGAAGGCGCCTGGGATTCCCCACGACTTCTCTACTCAGGTGTAGACACTTGATTCCTGAACCCATCCAAGCTCAAAAGCCACGCAGGAGTGAGTTACCGACTAAGCTTTCTATCCTGCTGCAGAGTCCCAAATGATGAGTAACCTGCTTCCACATTTAGGCGAAATTCATCTGACAAGTTAATCATCATAAATTACAAGCTAGAGACCTTGTCCTACTACAGCTGACAAGTCATAGCCCTAATTTATTATTCAAATAAAAACAGAAGAAACCTAATTCCCTAGACGCCGGGCTTCATGGTGTATACATGTAATCCGAGCACTAAGAAAGGAGAAGCCAGCCTGTACTGCAGGAGGGAGCACGGACACTGAGACCTGTCTCAGAAATTTTTTAAAAGTTCAAGAAAACTAGCTCCAACTGAGCACGTTTCTGATGGCATGAAGTGCTTAGTTTCTATGTTGTACCCTCTGCTGCACATCCACTCCACTATTAACATCGCCAGATATCAATGACACACTGGGCTCATCCCACCCAGACACAAGCTCAGTCTACATGCCTTTTCCTCCAGTCTTTTTTCTTTTTCAGTCTTTCTGAGTCAGGATCTATAGACCAGTTGGCCTGGAACTCACTACGTAGCCTTGGAACTTTACTAGTTGTAAAATGGCAGCATGGTCCAGCATGGTGCTATACACTTTTAACTCTGACCTGGTCCACAAAGTGAGTTGTAGGTCAGTTGTGGCTACACAGTAAGACCGTCTACAAAAAAAAAAGCACAGAAGAAATTCTCATGGTTCCTCTGCAAAGAAATGGTAACAGCTCCAATATTAGCAGTTTACATTCTGCTTACATGTATGAAACAGCAGATAAGCTCACTACGAGATTGACAAAACTTCATTTGATATCAATAGAAATAAATCACAGATAAGATCATAAGTGATATGTGCTAAAAACTTTCAAAACATGTCAAATGCATCATGCAGGAAAGGGAGACTACTGTCTCCCTTTAACCTGATTTGGCTAATCCATTTTTAAATAAAAGTATAAAACATTACCACAGAATCAAAAGTTCCTTCCTAAAAAACATTCCAGGAAGTGATTTCCTTTTACTTCTTATTGCCTTTACTGTTAAGGAGGAAATCAAAGAAAAGGGAAAGAGGAGAGGGTGGGCATGGAGGGCGGGCATGCCTTTAACCCCAGCACAGCAGGCAGACTTCTGTTGAGTGTAAGGTCAGCCTTGTGTACACAGAGAGCTCCAAGCCAGCCTGGGCTACACAGTGAAGCCCAGTATAAAACTAAGTTAAGACTAAACTGTTTTAAGTATTCTCTCTGGTTTCATTACTGAAGTGCTTTAGGGGTTTTGTTTTGGAAAAAGGGTCTCACTATGTAGGCCAGCTAGCATGGAACTTGCTATATAAAACAAGCTGGCCTTGAGCTCAAAAGATAGATCTGCCTTTGCCTCCCTAGTGCTGAGACTAAAGGCAGGCACACTCAGCTCAAGCAGCTTATTTGATCAAATACTTCATATCGGGGCTGGAGTGATGCTCAGCAGTTATGAGCACCAGCTGCTCTTGCAGAGGACCGGGTTTCAATTCCCCTTACCCACATGGCGGCTAATAACCAGCCATAACTCCAGTTCCAAGGGATCCGATGCCCCCTTCTGATCTCTGCAGTGCACGACACAGGTGCACTTACATACATGCAGGCAATACACTTACTCATACACATAAATTTTAAAAAGTAATAAAATTATTTATATCAATGTTTAGAGCTAGCATAGTTTATTTTGGTTTCATTTGTGACTCTGTTTCTGTGGGTGTTGGTTGGTTTTTGCAGTGCTAGAGGTTGAACCCAGGGCCTTGTGCTTGCTTGACAAGCTCTAAGCTACATTCCACAGCCCTAAAGTATATTACTTGGAAAGGGAAAGAGAAGAACATAAGTTAAGAACAATGTTAAAATCTCAGTTAGAATGTGTGCCAGTAATCTTCTAAAGCCAAAACGATTTGGCAGGATTTTCATGCAACTTATGACTGCATAGATTATCTAGAGCTGGTTATAAAGCTCATTTGAGTCAAGTGAATCAATGATCCTCAAAGTAAGGGTCCCTACAGCAGACAAAAAGGCACTGTAGGCACCTTTAGTTGTTTTTAAATTAAAAAGAGCCTTTTCTTCTGTTAGAAAGCAAACAGTTCTGAAAAAACTGAGCAAAGCTGATGCAATGCATTAAATGCATAACACACATTTTCGAAATTACCCACATGAAAGCACATATTTATCAGATTGAGCAAGCAGTTGCTTCGGGGCAAATATACATTTTTAAAACTTATAATGAGCATGCCTGAAATGGGCCAGAAGAACAAACCAGGCTATTACCATCGATATCAATTATTCTGAACAGCACATGACAACTAATGTTTGCTTTAGCAGGGATGCCTGGAAACGGCCAAGGGTCTGTGTTGAGTTTTATTCTCCAACAACAAGTCTCTGCATAGGAATGGATCACATGAGTATGTGACCTCAAATGCTTGTGAACAGGAGCAATAAAATCCATGACTTGGGCAGTGATGCTGAACCGGGTATTTCTGACTGTCATAACGTAAACAGCTTTGTGTCCAAGAATCTATGGTGCCATCTGTAAACAACAGAGCACTCACAAAGCTGGAGAGGAAGTCAGCCAAAACTTGAAAACAAATTCTCAAGGCAAAGAAAGCCCTCTCTGCCTTTTCAAATCAGCAGGTTTATGTAAACAGAGCAATGAAGCAAGTTCCTTTCCAGTCCTCAGCCCCACCCCCACCCCCAATCACAGCCTGTCACATCAGGCAGTTTATCATCATGAACCACAAAGAACCTATCAGAGTCTTTCCTGTTTCCTCACTAAGCAGAGTGGACACTTACTTCACTCCCTAATTTAGCAAGCAATGCTATCCCATAAAGAATCTTCCTCTCCAGCAATGTGTTTCCACCTATTAATCTTTTAAATACTCTCTGTCCCTTTGCAAAGAATGGCAGTGCCAATCTAACAATTTCCAGTAGAAAACCCTTTACTTGTTTACACACACACACACACACACACACACACACACACACACGCGAACTAAGTCTTTCTCACAAAGAGATTTTCCAGAGACACAGCTGGGTAGCCCAGAAGTGAACACAGGACACCAACCTTAGAACTGCTCTTTTCTTTCATAATTTTATGCTA